GGTCCCTAAACCCCCCCCCCCCCCCCACTGTAGTTGTGTTTGGTGTCATCGTTGGTGATGGTGTGTTTTGTGGTGTTGGTGGTGACGTGGTCGCCGCCATGCTTTAGTGCGCCCGTGCTATATATTTTGATGCGTTTCGTGGCTGCGGCGTCTCCCACCTTCATTGTCATTGCCTTCTTGCTCTGCTCATCTCTCGTGCACAATTTTTTTGATGCTCATCTCCGCGCACGCGCGAACAGCATCTGTCCAGCGAGCGTAATCACTCCCCCCGCAGTTGCTGTCATTCCTTTCGCTACCCATGGCTCGTAGGCTCTCCACCCCGCCCGTGCATGCGAACAACAAAAACAACCTGTCCATCTTCCATCTTCGTTGTTGATTTTTCGGACGCTCAACCCCCCGTCTTGTTATATCATCCGCCTTTCTCTTGTATTTTTAGGTCGTGCGCACGGCTTCGCCGTGGGACGCCACCCCTATGAAAAAAATCTTGACCGGAGGAAAGCAGGGGAAAAAAGCGGCGGCGGCGGCGGCAGCGACACCCCACAGGAATGCCAGGGAAACCCCGCTGAAAACGCCGCGATCTGGGGGTGCGGGGGGATTCTTCGGGGCTGGGGACTGGCTGGCAGCGGCGTTTACGCCCAGGGGCGCGCTCGCGCCCGACCCCGAAAGGTTGGTGGTTCAAGTTTGATTTTGCTGGTGCTGGTGTTGGTGCTGTGATTGCCGTTTTTGTGGTTTGTATTTTTCAATTTGTACGTGTTGTTGGTGCCCTTGTTTGAAGGTGGGACTGTTATGCCTGTCGGTATCTATTTAGTGCGTTGTATCCAACGACTGAACCCCGTGCCCAAAAAGAGTCACCGGGTGGGACCGCCTGTGTGCTTGGATCTATACTGAAGGGTGGGAAGAACACACGTTGTGATTGCCCGTATATCGTTCCAGTCGCGATGTTGCTGCGCTGTCGCCCCCACTGCTGCCGTTAGGATGTTCCACATGTGACTCAATCTCTCACCTACCTACCCCCACCCCACCCCCCGTCGCGGACCCTCACTCCGGGCAAAGGGGATGATCGCGCCACGTTGTGTGAAATGGTCATGCACCTCTCGAGGCAGTAACAGGGCGCTGATATCTGTCTCTGGAAGTGAAAACACCAGAAAAATAGATTGAGTCATACACAGCTGTCACCCGTACGCAAGGAAGGACAAGAGGATGCCGAACGCCCTTGGCAGGATGCAGCGCACCCTACATGCGACTCGCCGAAATGCCTCAAGTCGCTTCGAGCTTGGTGATGTGAGAGCCTGGCCCGGTTAGAACCTGGCGTGCTTCGTCTCCGCTTTGTGGGGATGCGAGGTCAACGGTCTAACGACTACGGCATACACGACTATGAATATGAGTACACCCCCCCCTCAGGTTTCTCCCCCTTTTTTCAACTGTTGAACCCCTCAGTCCTCGGGCGCCAGCATCGGAGGTCCCCAAGCAGCAGCAGCAACAACAACCACCGGAAGAGGAAGTGGAGAAGGATGAAGGAATCGCGCCGTTGGCACCTGCACAGCCCATCTCCTCGTTCCGCCCGCCCCCCGAAGCGGACGCTTTATCGTTCGAGGGCTCGACGGAGGAGGTCCTTCGGTATACCATCGTTGCCAAGGTCGGTCGGTCGGTCGGTCGGTCAGGGTTTGCAAGTCGCAGTCATGATGCACGACTTGTTGTTGTTGCAGCCGCTGCTGCCGCTGCTGCTGCTGCGGTGGTGTTGGTAGTAGTGGTAGTTGTGTTGATGTTTTGGTTTACCTTAGTTGAGGGCTGCATACCAAGGAACGAGAGATTTTTTTTTTTTTATGACCCCCAACTCAATTGTATCAGAGTATTTGACATGGGTCTCACTAGTGTACCGTCAGCGGAAGGTGGGAAAACCGACAACAAGTTGCGGGTGGTTGGCTTAGAATGGTGTTCACACAAGTTCTCACTAGCCTGTCGACAACAGACTATGGAGCTTCGTGTGGTACCCACCACAGAATCTATCTGCTGTGTCGCCCGCATTAAACAGCAAAGTTTGACCGCTCGCTAGTTAGGCCGCTGCCACCGCTGTGTTCGTCAGGCACATGGCGTCATCGCTGTCGATGGGCGTATGATATTTTTTGTGTTGCTTGACAGAGCTATCTCATCCGGAGCAAGTCGAAGAAGCACGGGGAGAGTCGCGAGGCGTCCCCGATAAAGAGCCTTTTCAGCCCGGGGGGCACGGAGCGGAGGGTGGAAGAGGGTGGCGAGGAGGACGTTCGTCACCTCACCCAAGAGCTACTGGACCTCAAGAGCAGGTGACTTGACCGGCTCCATTCAAAGAGATGGCAGCACCAACATTGCTCCGGGGGGCTCGCGTTTCGTGCTCGAAGCCCTAGGGTGTGTGTTGGGTCACCGACAGCGTGTACACGTGTCCGTTTCGACAGGCTTGTGTAGTGATTGACTCAATTCAAAGAGATGGCTGCAGCGTTGCTCTGGGGGGCTCGCGTTGCTTGCTCCAAGCCCCGAGATGTGTGTTCGGCCGCCGTTTCATTCAACCGATCATGGCGAGACACCTTTGCAGACGTTCGAGCCCACCGTATATTGCAACAGCGTAGGCCGCCTTCGCGCGATTGATAAGTTCATGAGGACATAGTACAGGAAGGGGGTACGCAGGCCCTATCCCTATGCCAACTTCACTGAGTGCATGCTTTGTCCAACATGTTTTCTTGATATTATTAGGGCAGCCGCGTTGTCTATAAAAAATATGTTTTACTGCCCTAATAATAATGTTTTTTTTTATTTATTGTTGTTCATGTTTAGGGATTTTCAGGTTGTCAGGTTTGGGGAGTACATACAAAAGGAATACCGTTCGAGGGCTACTGGACAACGTACGTGCATCACCCCTCCCCTATTTTGAAACACCTCTGTTAACCGACCGCACGCAGGTACATGGCGTCAACCCAGCACTGGCTCAAGACCGACATAGTCAACGACGAGGAGCTGAGGATGATCCGCGCCCAGGTGTTCGAGGCAATCCAGAGGAAGCGAAGCGAGCTGCACACCGAGGCGGCGGCGGTATTGAGGGCAGAGAGGTGAGGCTGAACTACCCGTAACCCTTCTCAAAGGAGCACACACCGACGGAGCACACCAGCTGCAGTCCGCCCCCCCCCCCCCCCCNCCCCCCCCCCCCCCCGTCCGGTAGATCCGATCCTCCGCATGTACCACGCTGCGTTGTTCGAGAGGTGACCAAGCTACATGTACCCAACGTGTACAGGGTGCAGGAGTCTCTGTGGTTGGGTGGAGAGTTTTGGAAGAAACGTGAAGAGAGAGTGACACGTACAGGAATGTCGGAATGTCCTACCCTTGATGTCAAGGGTAGTGCTAGCACAAGACGGTTGACGGTTGGGTGTGGGACAGGGCTGATTGTTTCGGAAAGGACGAGCCGATGACTGGGTTCAAGACGAACGCGAGCAAAAATCTTTCCCTCCCCCTCCCCCTCCCCCCGCCCTCTCACACCGATACGGGCCACAACTCAGCTTCGGTATGCAACTAGCAAAGACTCGGTCCGTGGTCACAAAATGCTAGAGCCATCAGAAGATGTAAAGAAGACGCACACTATTAGCAAGAAAAGGGTGCCCAAGCCCGAGGAGGTACACCTGCAATCCCTGCAGCACGTTTGCATGCTCCCAACCGAGCTCTTCACGTCCACACTACATTCGACTACAGCAGGATCATCCCCCCTGTCCTACACCTCTACCAAAATGAATGTTTGTCGACTACAGCGTACAGCTGTCTTGAGTGCTGCCTGTACAACAGCGCCATGGTAGGCATGGTACAAGTTCGGGGCGCGCGACTGCTGTCTGAAGTGCTGTCAGAATGAGTCCGTGGACATACAGCGAAAAAGAAAAACCAACCAAGCCATCATTGCAATTGATAATTAATCACCGAATCCACCCCCGATCATCTGTCTGTGTTGGACACAGCAGTGCAAATAATCGACACTGACTAGGAATCGTTCCAGATGGAAGGGATCTTGCACGATGCAGGTACACAATAAAGTCATCCGGGGTATCCGCGCCATCTCTGCCGCGTCTCTGTACAAAACCAGTGACGTCATCACACACACCCAACTCCGATGTTCATGAAAAAAAGCGGGAAATATTTGGCAACACAAAATGTTCGTCCGTGCGTCACGGTTCGATGTCATCCGTGTGCTCCGGTGTCGCTGCGGCCAGTCCTAGCACGACCAAACTCGACCCGTCGGTTACTTGCTTTCTCCCTCGTTGCACTTAAGGTTCTTGGTCTGAAAATTCTCGCGTCGAAGGGTCAACCAGCCCACTCAGCTCGTCACCACCTGTTCCCTCCTCCCCTTTGATGGCGAAGCCAAGTTACTGGGACAGTACAGCTCCCTTTTGCAGACCTAGGGTCGTGTACATAGTGCCCGTCCACCTTCCTGATGGCGTCTGTCTCCGCGCACAAAACTGAGTTGGACATTGCTGTCTACACCGACGGCCATGAGGCCCGCGCATCTGCACTTTTGTACCTCACGCACCAGTGCCGACCCAACTCTACCACTACGCACACCTCGCGGCGGGTGCGCCGCAGCAAGAAGGTGTCGGTCCCTTGAGGCTGAGTCTAGCCATGCGCGCTAGAAAGCCCCTCCCCTCGCTATTTGCC